GCTAGGCGACTGAAGTTTTTGTATAGTGTTCCCGCCAACAGGTGACGCGGCAAATTTAAATTCAGCCTTCCCGTACCCACGGACAACACGTACGGCCCCGTCAAAATTTTTTACAGGCAAATTAATATTTCAGGAACCACGGAGTCTAGGAGGCTGAAACTTTAGGGTAATAACCTCCTGCCCACGCTCAACCTTGCCTATTCAAATTCAGCGTTCCCTCGCTGTTGGGTATCACCTACGGCCTAGTGAGAATTTTGACGGTTAAACTATTAACTGAGGAATCGTGGAAAGATATTCACCCTTCAAGGTTTCGAATTCAGCTTTTATGCGCTGGTGCGTGAAATTTTTACCTGTTTTCCAATGTTTGAACTATTTTTGCATAGACTAAAGTACAAAGCAATAAAAATCATTAATAGGCAATCGTTCGATGGGCTGAACTGCACAAAACGCATGATCGCACCGGCTCGTCTGGTGCGCGTTGCTATTTATTTTTTTTTATACTGGCAAATATTCATCTACTTTTAGCTCGTGGTCAAGCAAAAAGCACTGACATAGAGCATCTGAACTGTATGGAATACCTTAAGTATATTTGGATCGGTGAATGGCTCATTGAGGATGTGCATTTCGTTCCATAACGGGAACGGATCAATAATGTAATCCCTGTCCCGTGTTGAAATTTGCATCAGACAAGTTAATCCGAGAAACGAGCGCAGATCGTTATGCTGAAAAAAAAAGACTTTTTTTATATTTATTAAAAATAAGGGTCAGAAAATCCGTTTCAGGGGAAATGAGATGAGGAAAGTTGTTCAAACAAAAGAAATCTATTCTTCGTTAAACACACTTTTTTGTTTTTGTATTAAAGCTTTTCTCAAAAAATTTGGTATTCTTTATATTTATTAAAAACTGGGATCAGAAAATCCATTTCAGGAGAGACGAGATGATCGAAGCTGTTCAAACAAAAGAAATCTATTCTTCGTTAAACACAATTTTTTGTTTTTGTATTAAAGCTTTTCTCAAAAAATTTGGTAGACAGGGGGCTGATTCTGCTAGCCAAAAAACACTTTTTATCGATTTTAACGCTTTTTTTTTGTTATAAATTATCCCAACTACAACCCGACAGTCACTGCTCAATCGCCACAACACCATAGGCGAATCCACAGCGGTCTTCTGGGGAGGGAGAGGGGGGCGATTTTTCGCCTCCAGCTCCCAACCCAACCTTCAACTGTCGCGTTAACCTCCCCCTCCCCCCTCTCTCCCCTCGGTCGTCCAACTGCATCCCCCCCGAAGGTCTCGCTTGTCTCATCATGCTGGTTTTTCTAGAGGAAGATGGCGATGTCCCCCCCCACCTGGATTCACCAATTTACAACACATTTGACATCTTCTTCTAGAAAAACCAGCATTA